AATATAATCTGTTAACATTGGGTGTTTAAACTGATCATCTGTTCTACTTAGAGATAGAGAAGAGCTTCAACAGGATATATTTGTCCCCTAAATAAAATGTAGGTCCGGACAATACCCATCTTCATCAAAATCCTAAGGGAAAAAAAAATTCACTAATTTTTCTAGTTGAAATTCCTTCCATCATTTAAAAAAAAGGGTCAAAAAAAGAATCCTATAGTGATAATGACCAAGCACGAATCATAGCACACATTTCTTTGAGCTTTTATTAACAAATACCAATTCATATGTGCTTTGCATTCTTAATCTTGACAATAGCATACGTATATCCATAAGAAGCTGGCACTCACCTTAATTCATACTATTTATTCTCAAGATCACATGTCAATCAAAGTAGTTAAACTTTGTGGAGACAGGGGGATCTTTCAATCTCCTCATCACCACATGTTCCAAAGGTGAACCACCATAACTTTTTAAACTATGCTACAGATTTTACATGAAATGTAACAAATTAAAGTCCAATTTGCCTTTTCTAGCATATTCAAATGCCATAGATATATATTTAAAAAATGCCTTAAAATAATTCATAGCAGGAAAAGAGGCAACAAAAAAGTGAAAAATACTAATAAATTATTATATCGAAAAAGTGTTTTCCGATATGATACCTATGAATTTACTAAAATACCCTTAATGAATCTCTTCCATATGTTATTTCATTAAAGGCATTTTAGTAATTCAGTACCTGAACTGTACTCTTAAAACATTAATCTCTTATAATCTTATTATATATAGAGTGACTGTAAAAATAAACAGAAAAGTGAACCATTGGTGGAGGGAGCAGGCCCCTTGATATTGGGGGCCCACCCCCATCAATGGTTAACTGTTTTGGCAGTCCACGCAGGGCAGACTGTAAAAGAGTATTCTGAAAAATAAAACATACTGATAAGCAACAGTCTACTGTATGAGAGCACAAGAAAATAGTATGGAGTATGAAGAAACAAATCTTTGAACCATGTTGTTTGTTTCATAGAATCATACGTCTGAAATTGATAGAATCCCCAGACCATTTGGTCCAAATGCTTCTTCAATCTTCTTTGACAAGTCAGCATCCTTGTCCTATTTCAATTCATTTCAACAATCAAAAAAGAGTCAGAGAAATGCATGCGTATACTTGCCAAACTCCAACAATTTAAGTTCAAAAGGCACACGTAATTAACACAAAAAGAAATAATATTTTATATAACTGCTCTCTGTTTGGTTGGTAAGAAAATCAAGGAAAATAGAATGTAACTAGCAATTCAAACGTCACTCTCTACTCTACTTTGATCTCAGAATCAATCACAACGAGTCAACTGAGTATAGCAGTTAATTATATTGTAACTAAATATGTGTGTATGTGTAGCAAAAATCAATTTCCGCTGCTTTCTCGGCAACCAAAGAGAAAAAGGAAACATACCTTGAGGTCGGAATAAGATATGGTGACAGTG